GACCAGACTCCTACGTACAGGTGGTCCTGCCGCTTGAAGGCCTTGCTGCAGATTTTGCAGACGTGCTTCCTCTCCTGGCTGTGCGTCAGGTAGTGCTTGCTCAGAGAGCTGGCGCTGCTGAACACCTTCCCGCAGAGGCTGCAGTCCAGAAGCGGGTTCTGGGGGGAGCTGTGCTGCCGCTTTCCCTTCCTTGCACTCCCCGAGCTCGCCCTGCCTCCTTCGTCAGTGTCTTTAGGCGCCTTGAGTGGGCCCAGCCCCAGGTCTACACAGGGGAGAAAGCACAGGTTAGAGACATGGGGCGGTCAAGGAGCCGGCTGGAGGCTCTGCAGCTGAGAGGCACGGCCCACGGCTGGGTTAGAGACATGGGGTGGTCAAGGAGCCGGCTGGAGGCTCTGCAGCTGAGAGGCACGCCGGCTTGGGGAGAGTGGGCCAGGAACCCCCACTTCAGCAGCTTTCCTTCAGAGGAAACAGGGGTTAGGACCAGGGGAGGGAGAGAAGGCAGCTGGTCGGTGCACCTGCAGGAGGGACCCAGCCTTGGTGCCCCGCTCCAGGGGACAGCAGCAGCCTGAGGCTCTCCGTGGGTAAGGTGGGCGGGGCTTTCTGACCACCCCATCCATTTCACTCCGAGAAAGGCAATCCAGAAATACACACTCCAAAACCTTAAGAGAGTCTCAATCCTTTCTCCCAGCCAATTCTACTTTGGGTTTTTAATGAAGGAAATAAATGTAGACTTGTAGAGTTTGCTGCAAGGGACTCAACGGCCACACTGTTTTTCCTGGAGAAATGTTGGAAACAACTAATATCTGACAGGAGGCATGCAGGTCACGGCATGGTGGTTTAAATGGTGTATGACATACGCACTTCAGATAAAACTGTAGAAAAATGCTCGATGACACGAAAGGATGTTCATGCTGCACTAAGCCAGAAAAAAGCAGCCTGTTGCAAAACAGAACTGTCCCAGTTTTAGAAAAAGAAAAAGAAATGTATTCAGAAAACAAACAGAATAAATTGACTGGTCATTTTTATTTTCTTTTTCTTGTGTATCTGAATTGTCCATGTTTCCTGCATTTTGGGGGTAAAATGATAAAAGGGTATTTTTATGAATCATGTCATTGGAGGAACTGAAGGGGCTGGAAATGTTCTGGGGGGAGAGGAGCGATGTCCTCAGACACCTGAAGGGCCAGCGTGTGGAGGAGGGAGTGGATGGCTCTGTCTTGCTCCAAGGGACAGAGCTGGGTTTGGTGACTAAAGGGTAAAGGGAGCTGGTCTCACATCACTAGGACTGCTCAGGGCATGGACGTGGGACTCTGCCGGCTCCCTGCTCCAGCTGCTGACTTCCCATCCGGGCACTCGTAGGTGCTCAATGACCATCTGCTGGATGGATGAGCAATGGGAGACCTTTCTGCCCCTTGGACGGTCTTCGGGATGGAACAGCCTGCATGAGACGGCAAGCTGAGAACTCACCATTTAGCTAGGAAGCTAGAGGCAGGATCCGTGACTGTCACAGGCCAGGGAAGGGGGAGGGGAGGGGACGGCACTGAAGGACCCAGATGGCAAGTCTCTGTGGCTGAGATGCAGTGTGAGAAACACAGCAGGGAGGAGCCAGACTTTTGTCCCAACTGTGCCTCTGGGGTGGACCATCTGTCACTTCACTTGCCTGGCTTACATCTTCTTCAAATGAGAATTACTGTGATGAGTGATTAAAAGATTCCAACAGTTTAAATGAGGAAAAACAGGCCTCCCTCAGGGGAAAGCCCTGGCCTTGCTAAGTTACTTTGAAAATGCTCATTAAAGAAACTATTAAACTAGAAAACAAAACGTTGTTTTGAAAAATTAGCAAGGACATTGAAAAATAGGCAAACAGAGTCACTGGTCCGGGAAGGCACTTGATCTTCCCAGAGAGTAATTGTTAAAGGAGCTCTAAAACTGTACGTTCTCTGATGGGCAAACTGATTTAGAAGCGAATGTTTGGGCCCTGGCCAGGTAGCTCAGCTGATACAACGTCGTCTCAATACACCAAGGTTGCAGGTTTGATCCCGTCAGGGCACATACAAGAAGCAACCAATGACTGCATCAACAAGGGGAATGACAAATAGATGTTTCTTTCTCTCTCTCTTCCTCTATCTAAAATCAATCAATAAACATTTTTTTAGAAGATATCCAAAGAACTAACTAAAAAGAAAACTTGATGTGCAGAGTTGTTCACAAACACTATAGCAGCCTAATGAGCAAGAATATGGTCAAACAACACAATGGGATAAATGACTGCTACAGTGACCACTGCATGGTCTACCTGAATGTAAGAAAGCAGATACTCGCCCTGACCGGTTTGGCTCAGTGGGTAGAGCGCCTGTCTGCGGACTGAAGGGTCCCAGGTTTGATTCCGGTCAAGGGCATGTACCTTGGTCGCGGGCACATCCCCAGTAGGGGGTGTGCATGAGGCAGCTGATTGATGTTTCTAACTCTCACTCTCCCTTCCTCTCTGTAAAAAATCAATAATATATATATATATTTAAAAAAAGTAAGTAGATACTCTAAGTTTTAAAAAGAGAATGATACACTTAATACACCTCTGCAAAACCATGTTTTTCTGAGTGACTTTACTCACATTTTTAAAAATTTACATGTGGGAGCCAGAGTGGGGATTTTTCTTGTTATTACATTGCTTTATTTCCTAAGTTTTCTTTAATAAATATGCATTACTTTTCTAATTTTAAAATTAACGTAAGTATATGCATTTATATGGACCTAAATTTATGTTAGAGAAGTGTAAAGAATAGGAATTTAATGTTCAGTAGATCCCTTTTTAAAAAATGAGATGAAAAACTTCAAGTTTAAAACAAATTAGGGCCTAGCTCATTTTTCTCAGTGGATAGAGCATCAGCCTGCAGTGTGAAGGGTCCCAGGTTTAATTCTGGTCAAGGGCACACATGCTTGGGTTGCAGGCTCAATCCCCAGTTGGGGGTGTGCAGGAGGCAGCCAATCAATGATTCTCTCTCATCATTGATGTTTCTCTTGTAACACTGTGGGGGAGGGGTGCACAGACCCCTATGAAAATCAGGGGAAGCTACAGTGTTTCTGCCCGGCATAATGCGCACATACTAGTATTTGCACTCAGCAGCATTTTCCAGGTGATTTCTGTGGCCTGGGCTGAAAACCCTCATCACTGTATCCCCAGGCCTGGCCTGCTGCCTACAACACTCTGATGTCCCAGGAGTCTAGGACTTCACGTTTAGCCACTGTTCCTACATGGTGACAAGACTAACGCCCTGGCTTCCACATCGTATGCAAGTGGGGGCTCAGAAGGCTTTCATGTCAGCAAGTCTTCAGGGCCTTTGGGAGCTGCCTGTTCCAATGAAGGTTAACATGTTTGCAGGGCTGCTGTTTCACATGTGCCCTTCCACTCACACAGTGTGGCTATAAACTGCAAAGAGCTCTGGCTCAGTCAACCCATCTGAGCAACCGACCCACCACCATAAAGAGGATGGAAAACCTGCCCTAACCGGTTTGGCTCAGTGGATAGAGCGTCGGCCTGCAGACTAAAGGGTCCCAGGTTTGATTCCGGTCAAGGGCATGTACCTTGGTTGCAGGCATATCCCCAGTAGGGGGTGTGCAGGAGGCAGCTGATCGATGTTTCTCTCTCATCAATGTTTCTACCTCTCTATTCCTCTCCCTCTCTGTACAAAAATCAATAAAATATATTTTTAAAAAAGAGGATGGAAAACCAAAACGGAATTGATCTTGTGGGGGAGCCTGAAGGCAAACCAAAAGGAGATTTAATGAAGGCCTGTTTTCCCTCATTTAAACTGCCGGGGTTCTTGTTCCGGCATTAAGAAGGGTTCAGCAATCTGGAAAAGGGGCTGTGTGTAACTTAAGTATGAGTCCAGAGACGAAGCATAATTTTGAAAGGCATATGGGGGTCAGAGGAGCTTAGCTAAAAGGAACTAAGATCTCCTCGTCTCAGGACCCCATGCTTTTTATTAACACAAATATTCCTGCGGCGAGGCAGAGATATACACTGCAAAGGGTCAGGGTTTTGTATACAGAGGCATTTTCAGAATGGGGAGAATTAGCCTATGGCTGTTCAGGTGTTTGGCCAGCAGGAGGCAATAACATGTAGATTAAGATGTCCTGAGCTGTCTGGCAGCAAACAATCATCCCTTTTCAGGTTTGGGGAAATGCCCTCAGCCATTCCCAACAGGTGACAACATATGTGACTCAGCCCTTGTTGAGTCCCCAAGTTCCATCAACCTTTGGATGAAACTCTTGCAATTATGACATGCTGGAATTGGCTTCCGGCATAAACTATTGGGATCTTTTAACCACTCATCACAGTAGTTCGCCCTTTTCCTCCACTGCTGAAGAGAAAGACTTCGAAACGAACCGATGGGCTGTCTGAAATGAATTCTGACAATGTGGGTAAAAATAACAAAATAACTCTCATCTGTCCAGAGCTTTACAGTCTACAAAGTGCATTTGCGTTCATGTCTTCTGTTGCTTTCTCTTACTGGTACTCTGGGGGAAGAAGGGAGGGTGTTACTGTCCCCCCACTTTGCGGATAAAGACCCTGGGCTTGGGCAGTTTAGAAGCAGCAGATGGACAGGCTCCCGGCTGGGTCTGGAAGTGTGAAAGGGCCTCTGAGAAGTGGTGATGGAGAGGAAAGTCTCCCGTACACTCGAAGGTCTGCCCACACCACTCACGAGACTAGGATATCCCCAAACAGCCACCGTTCTCAGCAACGTTCCCTAACACCAGTGGTACGTTTTCTCGACTAGGAAGTTGGGAACAATTCCCAAGTGGGAAAAGGGTAACTGCTCCCTATTCATCTGTGGAAGAGACATTTCCATAACCAATCAGGCAGAGCCAACCCCCTGCAGCCCGCCAGGCCCTGGGACCCAGGGCGACAGCGTTACCTTGTAAGGAAGCCTGAGATTCCGGGTCTGCATACTCCTCCAGCACCTTCACGGAGTCACTGTCCTTCCCCGAGTACAGGGACACTGCATCTAAATTGTCCTCCAGGGCCTCGCTGGGCACACCGGGCTTTGGGAGGCTGGGGTCCAGGTCCAAGCCACTCAGACCAGCATAGAGCAGGTCTCGTGTGCTGGGCCCCAGGTCCCGGCTGAGGGTGTCACTGCAGTGGAGCCCCTGGCTCTCGGATAAGGAAGGGAGGTGCCTCTTGGATGGAAGGGCACCCTCCTCCCCAAGGCTGTACTGGTCCATGGTTATCTGCTGCCAGGTTTTGGTCAAGAGTTACTGTCCAGATGAGCAAAGCCGTGCAAGGATTCAGGGAGGAGAGAACTCCTGGTCTCTAATTCCTAAAAAGGAACAAGGAGGAATCAAAATTACAAGATGGCAACACAGTGTAGTGGATTGAACTTGGACTTGGAATTCAAACAGGCCTGTATTTGGGTCTGTTCTCTGACACTTAATAGCCATATGACCCTGGGAGTCACTTAAGCTCCATGAGACTCAGTTTCCTCCTCTGTAAACTGGGCATAAGAATAGCTTCCATCTGCCGAAACCGGTTTGGCTCAGTGGATAGAGCATTGGCCTGCGGACTGAAAGGTCACAGGTTCGATTCCGGTCAAGGGCATGTACCTGGGTTGCGGGCACATCCTCAGTGGGGGGTGTGCAGGAGGTAGCTGATCGATGTTGCTCTCTCATCGATGTTTCTAACTCTCTATCTCTCTCCCTTCCTCTCTGTAAAAAATCAATAAAAAAAATATATAAAAAAAGAATAGCTTCCATCATAAAGTGGTTGAAAGGAATAAATGGAAGGACTCCCAGCAACATGGTGGACTGAACTGACCTCTTTTCCAGCTATAAACACATAGAAATATGAGAAAAGAGAACTTTTAATACACAGCCAAGCTCAAGAGACAGGTAAAACCCCAAGTGCCAGCAGCAGTGAGAAAACTCAAAGCCAGAGATGTAAGCACAAGGGGAACATCAGACTCATGGGCCTGGAGCCGCTGTCCCGTACGGCAGCCGCTGGTCACACGTGGCCAGGAAGCACTCAAAATGGGCCTGGCCAGACACTGAGATGTGCTGTGAGTGTAACATACACACTGGGTTTGGGAGACTTTGTACAGAAAAATAATAACTTTTTATATTGATGACATGTTACAGAGTATACTTTGTACCTAGAGGGTTAAATATCCTATGTTATTTAAATTCATTTCATTTGCCTCTTTTATTTCTTTATGTGGCTTATTAGAAATTTTAAAATTATATACATGACTCAGAGTATATTTCTATTAAAGAGCATTACGCTAGAGGGTGGGACCTTGAGGTGACAGGAAATGCAGGTCTGAGCCCCTGGAGGAGCAGTGCCATTCACAGGAAAATGAAATAAGAGAAAAATGGCACACAAGCCTAGAGAAACATCCCCAAAAATAGGACAATGGGAGACAACAAACATAGTGTAAGAAAAGAAGTCAGTATGTGACAAGAACAAACATTTTTAAACAGAAACAAATGGACCTTCTAGAACTGCAAACATTCAAATTAAATTCACTGGAGGTTGAACAGCAGATTACACAGTGCTAAGAGAGCATCAGTGAACTGGCAGAGCAAACCCAGGAAATCCCCCCAGAAGGCAGCACAGAGATAAAGAAATGAGAAGTTGAGAAAATATGAATGGAGAAGAAGCAAATGCCTAACAGGGGTCCCAAAAGGAAAGAGGAGAGATCGTAGGATAGACAGTATAGTAAAGAGATGACCGTGGAGGAATTTCCAGAGCTACAGAAACACATGAATCCAAACTTAAAGATATGATTCTTGGAAGATATGTGGTTAGTAATCAAGCATGGCAAGGTCAGAGCAGAATAAATAAAAACGAGTTCACTACTCAACACACAGCAGAACTGCAGAACACCAAAGACAAAGAGAAAACCCTGAAACCTACCAGAAAGAAACAAACAGGCAGACAGTCTACAACGGGATGATGACTAGATTGATGATAAACTTCCCAACAGAAACGAGGCTGGAAGGCAAGGGACACACAGCAGCAGAGGAAGTCAGGAGGAGAGTCAGCACAGAACTCAGCACAGGAAAACTGCTGTTCACGAGGGAGCGACAGAGACTTTTCCAGACAAAGCCTAAGAGTCTACCTCATAGACCTGGGCTCAAAAACTACTACAAGTTTTGAATCATTTGGATAAAAGAAAGAGATAATGATTAACTTCACACTTTAAGTATCCATGCTAAGGGAATCTAACTATGGAACATCTAAACTGGCAGAATTTATCCCAAAAAAAGAGAGAGAGAGAAAAAGACTCAAATTTCTAAAATTAGAAATTAAAGAGAAAATATCACTGAATGACCTTACAAAAATAAAAAAGGATTATAAAGGAATATTATGAATAAATGCATGCCAACAAATTAGGTAAATTAGATTAGAACAAATTCCTAGAAAGATTCAAATTACAAAAACCGACTCAAGGGGAAATAGACTATCTGAATAGACCTATGTAGGAAGTAGAAGAATTGAATTAGTGAATTTAAAACTTCCCAGCTGTGGCACCAAAGAAACATTATTGCAACTCTGGAAAACAGTCAAGGGTTTACAGCAACTAAGTGAACCCTCATTAAGAAAAAGGTGAGCTGAACTGGTTTGGCTCAGTAGATAGACTGTGTGCCTGCGGACTGAAGGGTCCCGGGTTTGATTCCGGTCAAGGGCATGTACCTGGGTTGCGGGCACATCCCCAGTAGGGGGTGTGCAGGAGGCAGCTGATCGATGCTTCTCTCTCATCGATGTTTCTAACTCTCTATCCCTCTCCCTTCCTCTCTGTAAAAAATCAATAAAATATATTAGTAAAAAAAAGAAAGAAAAAGGTGAATGACACCTGGGAAAAGCACCACAGCGGTTTTGAGGACTGTTCTGGTGTGGGAGGCAGCAGAGAGGACCTTGTTCTCAAAGAACTGAGGTTGTCTGTCTTCCCCTGTGGAATGGCTCCTGAAGGTCTAACGCAAAGGTCTTGCCTTGATCTTGCCCAATTTGGAACTCTCTCAAGGCAGAGAGTAGCTGGGGGCAGGGCCGGGGGAGGGGGTTGCTGAAAACATTAAAAAAACAATGAACCATTTGCTATAGCTTGGGACCAGCCACAGAAAGCAGGGAGGAAAGGCTGGAGCTTGAGATGCTTGGGGAATAAGGGCACCGAAAAGCTGAGTTAAAAACCTATGTCCACACAAAACCTGCACACAAATGTTTATAGCAGCGTTCTTCATCCTGCCCAACTAGAAGCACCCGAGATGTCCCTCAATAGGAGAATGGATAAACGAATTGCTACATCCATACAGTGAGAAGCAAGGAGATCTCAAGCCACAAAAAGACACCGAGGGACCATAGACGCATATTGCTGAGTGAAAGAAGCCAGTCTGAAAATGCTATATAGTGTATGGTTCCAACTATATGACATTCTGGAAAAGACAAAACTATAGAGACAATAAAAAGATAGACTGC